CCAACACTTTCATATGCAATTTTTCTGAAAGGTAGAATGTTGTGGTGCAGTATCTCATCCTTTGTGGTTAGATTAGATAGGTGGTACTAGACGCTTACTTCAGGCAAAAACGTTATCCAACACTCATCATCTGCCTTTTTCAACGCATTTACAGTAATAATAATAAAGATGTATTTCACAAAGCCCCGTGAAGGATGCATGATCTTACGTACAACAGTCATATGTTCAAGAAAAGCGCAGTGCACTGGTGCCTGAAGGAAAAAATGTACTCGAGAGCGAGCTGAACGGAATTGAACGCAGTAATACAAATGAAACACAAAGCGGATAAGGTCACTGAGGAAAGTAGTGAAGACGGCGGAGTGCTCTAACAGAGCACCTCTGTGAAAATAGACCAGAGCAGGAACCGTTATACTAGATAAATGGTGAAATGTTTAGACGTGCGGTGATCAAGGATTGAAATGAAGATAGACGGTCGGCGTATCAATGTCGAGGGAAGTATGGAAACAGGTAAAAGAAAGGAAGGGATAAAACAGAACAGAGTTGAAGCGTCTGTCAAAGTATACATATATATGTCAATGTATATGTATTCACTATACGGTGTGACTCAGGTGACTTCAGTGAGGACACTTTCGATGACTTCGGGGCTTCGATCAGTAATGGATGATTTGGTTTATTTAGGTTACTTAGGCATTGGCCACTTTGATGTGGGACTGACTATACGCTATGCACCCAACCTTAAAACACCTTGTAGGTGAGACAGGGGTGCGTTCCCCAATCTGGTCCGGAATGGCGACGCATGTAGTCAAAGCGGTGGATAAAGCCGCACCCAAAAGCCATGGTCGGTGCTAAGTTACCCATTGCGGGTGTGGACCCCAAGCCTTCGCCAGGCCAGAACCAAACGCATCTGTAATAAGAAGGTGAAACTCNGTGAAACTCGGCAGTCTGGGATGATACCCAGCTGAGAAGAGGAAAAGGGAGACAGCGAGAGGCAAACGAAGATTGTAATCGAGGTTGGTAATTGGTTGCTGTAGTCTGGGCGGACACTCAGCGTGGGTTGTCCATTCCACTTCTAAAATTTATAAACTGAAGAACTTTACTATAGATGAGGGTAGATTGAGCCATACAAGACAGGTAAGCGCGCAGCATCCAAAAGCGGCTTGATTCAAAAACTTCAAGGTCATTTAATTGATCCCCATTCTCCAAGCCACGGAAAAAAAATCCCAACTGGGAATCACTGTCTCTCCAAAATTATTTCGCTTAATACAGATACTAAATATAACGCGGAAATCAATAAGACAGCCAAAAACCAAAAAAATTAGAAGGAAATTTATTTACCTCAAAAAACAATTATTTTTTATTATTATTCAACGAGTTCTTGTGAGGGAAATCAACTCATAACAAATTTTTAGGAATTCCACCTTTCACATAACTGTCAAAAGCTATTCTAAGTACTATTCTGAAACTTTCAGCCTGAGATCATCGACGAATAAGAAATAAAACTAACTTTTTGTCAGCTTTTGATGTGTCCCATAGTGAAATTTTAAAACGAGCCAAACTCCATCAATAAGAACTGCACCTTCCATAAAACAGTCAAAAGCTATTCTAAATACTATTCTGAAACTTTCAGCCTAAGATCATCGACGAATACGAACTAAAACTGACTGACTATCACGGCGGTGTCTGTGATTACTTCGTTAGCCTGAAACTCTCGAAATCGCATGCCCGTGGACTAATGCACCAATTTTCTCTCACCCACAGGTCATTCCACATTAAAATTGGCGGGACAACGAAATGGACAATGCCCCCACAAAATCCAATCTCAAATAGAATCTATAACAATATCTTGGTCCTGGAACGGAATTCATAATCCAAAGACAAATAAATCAAATTGGCGTGGCTCTAAAAGGGCCGTTTTCAGTCACTTCGGGCTTTTGACATCGACTGAGGCAATGCACATAAACGTATGCTTCCTCTCCACTGTAAGCAGCGCAACAGCTGTGTGTTCGGCGCCCGCATTTCTGGCATTGGATCCATTGTTGCTCATCGTCCAAATCAACCGTACTCCATGCAGATTTGCAGACATTGCAGAAGTTGGCCTTCATCGATGATGCCGGATTGGTTTGCCTTCTGCGTTTAGCGTCCAGTTTGTACCCCGATGACCTCGTTCTTGTCAGTCTTCGGAACGCAGCATGTTCCAGTGGGTCACCTAGGACTCTTTCGTCATCTTCACTGTCGATTGATCTACTCACTAAAACTGATTTCCGCTTTTCAATCAAACCGCTGGTTGAAACTACTGGTCGATTATTTGTTCTCACCATGACGCTCGTAGACGGAAGACAGATAGGTTAATCTCCGAAGTCTGTGTTGCCAAGCTCTATCTATCAAATAATATCTGGATGTCCGGGTACCTCCCTATCATAGCTGCTACACCTCGAAGTTGATTGCCCGACAATTGTAATTCACTGTACCTATCCTAATCAAAAAGAAGCCCAGCTATTGAAGGACGTCATCTGTCTGAGTCAACATGATGGCTTACTTATGACGTTTCCTGATACCGCTATTACCACAGTAGAGTTTTGAACTTAATGCTTTTCGCTGCGGTTTATAATCCATCTATCTGGAATAAGACTTTGAATATCCCAATTATTCAGACCGAATACCCTGGCTATATGCAAGCAGGGCAGCAACCTTTGCGCATGGAAATAACACTCACACTTCGTTTACCCTGCAGTAACTACTTTATAACCTTGCCCTTTCTATCCACGACCATGGAGAACCCTCTCTCGTGAACAATTCGTTCAATCTTACATAACTTCCAGTTACTTAATAATATATTCCGCGCAAATGGTGTTACTAGTATGAGCAACGGTTTAAACGACTGAATGCCGCTGGGTGTCGGATACCCCCTCATGGAATGTTTAGTTTGCCGAATTCCATGCGTCACATCCAAAGACCCTACTCTTAGAAGAACTTTCTTTTAAACATTCACGAATGAAGATCGAGGAGTTGAGCTTGTATTGAGGTGTCTGTTTTCCATCCACACTCAGTTGGTAGTTGGGTTTCCTAAAGTCAACCTATTCCTCAAGGCATACCCTGCCCACTGCTCTCTGTATGATAACCAAGTTCGGCCCAAATAAACACCTGCGTCTGTGCTACGACTTTCTACTGCGGCTAGGAATCTACGAAACGATACCTCACTGTCACAGTATACCGTGTTCCGCATCCATTGAAACATGCGCTGCTTTTCGAACGTTGGCATACCAGATAGCTGGTTACATTTCTTCTAAAAATCCTCAACCAGATGGAATCATGAGAATATCACATTAGATGATGAAAAGTATTTGGAAAACGCGTTGTACTGAGCCAGGATATGATCAACTACCATAGCCTTGCATTGTGCAAAGACTGGTCACATAGATTTCATGGCTTTCACAGCAGACGCTCTCATTCGGCAAGATAGCGTACAAGAAACGTCTTCCTTAACCGGTCGTCTAAAGGCATGGCATGCAAAAGCACTTACCCGTCACAGTTTAGCTACTGTGTGGCGTCCGCTTACAAAACATCACTAAACCTGTCGACGCAGTGCAGCATAATCTTGAGAACAAAATAAATGTGACGAACGACGCCTTCGCTCAGCCCTACTCGAACATCTTCCTGATTCTCCAGCGTATTTCTAATTTTCACCGCGTCGCCACGTGAATCCGACTGAGACCTTCTTTGACGTATAGATCTTATATCTGCCGTAGTTAAGGGTCTCTGGAACCTGTATGGTAAAATCCCGTAGCTCGCGAGTTCTTCTAAGATTGTCGATCAAAGTACAAACTTCCTCTTCCTGATCTCCAGGTAGACGACGATTACTTATATACAAGACCCCGCTCATCCACATGGAAGCCATCGTTGTGCACTAGACAACGTTTCGTCTCGCGGGACTTCCTACAGACCGCGCAAAATCCAACGAAGGCCAGACAATCGACTTTTTGCAGCCTAACAGGGTTTAAATACCTTAGAAATGAGAGGCACAATTACCTGGTTGCAGCTGTGCCGCACCTTCTGTGATGTACACAGCAATATTTGATGAAATAATACGGAAAACCCTCAGGCAGAGTTAGTTTCCGACCAAACTTTCTTCCCGGATCAGTTGTTCGGCTGTCATTAAAGCATAAACGTAGAAGAAAGTGCAAGTAACTCTTTGGAATTCACGGAAGTCCGGTATTTATACTTTCTGGACAAAGTTAATTAAGGTTAATTAACACAGATTATATTTTAACAAATCACTCAGAATCAGCGGAAAGCAAAATCTGTTCCATTTCGGCTGAATTCGACATCGCTTTTTCTAAAATACTTTTACAAATCGATCGTCTTTAGAAATCCTAATAGTTGGGATGCCACCCTACTACCTACAAGACACAGGTTATCAAGAGTCAGTTAGAGTTCAGTGATGAGGAGGAGCTTACTGCTGTCAGCGTTCACCAGTTACACAAGGGAATTACCGTGTTTTAGAAAAATGTTGCCCCTAGTTGCAGCCTAAAGTGGCTTGGCTACATACGTAAGTCATGTCTCCGCGTGCCTCTATGCTAAACCCGAGAGAACAGGTGGTCAAACCTAAGGCCTGATATACCCTTGATGATCTTAAATGTCTCGATTAGGTCTCGTCTCATCCGCCTCCGTTTGAGGGAGACGCTGTTCATAGATTTTGCCCCGTTGCCCAGCCATCATCCTCGCGGTTAGACGGTGAACTCTCTCTAAGGTATCGACGTCCTTTCGAAAGAACGAAGCCCAAGCCTGCACACAGTATTCCAGATGCGGGTGACGATGAATTCGTATAGGAGGATAAAAACCTTTGGTTTTCTGCACGTCATGGTTGCGCATAGATGAATCAGTTGTCCCCTGGCTTAGTTTGCAGCCTTCACACATTGAGTGCTGGATTTGAAATCCCGCGTTACCACTATGCCTAAATCCTATACCTCTGCATCCTTTGTATCGACAGGCCTCTTCCTGTCTCTTCGTTAGTTTTTATCGCCGGTATCTGACATTTAGAGACGTTTGGTGGTAGGTTCCATTGTTCGACCCATCTTTTTACTACCTCTAAATCCTTTGCTAGATCCCATACAGATATCTTGACGTCATCTGCAAACAGGAAGCATGGATTTTGAAGATCCCTTGCTAGGTCATTAATGTAGCACAAGAACAGCAGTGGTCCAAGTACGGATCCTTGGGATACACCGCTTGTCCCCACCTCCTCTTCGGATGTGTGAGCTCCTACTTTGACACTAAACGTCCGCTGTGCAAGAAATCCCATTATCCAGCTCCTGATTTGTCCACCTATTGCCAATAATTGCATCTTGTGATTTAAGAGATGGTGGCTGACAGAGTCGAATGCTTTCTGGAAGTCTATATAGCATACCTCCACCGATGGGCCCTCATCTATTCCATGTGTGACCTAGTTTAGAAAATCCGGAAGGTTTGTTAGACAAGATTTGTTTTCAAAATATCCGTGCTCAGCTGGTACTAATAGCCCGCTATTGACCATGCAGTGACATATTTGCCTTCTAACTAGGCGCTCCAAACACTTACATATTACTGACGTCAAACGGGCTGGTGCGTAATTCTCGGCTTTTTCCGTGATCCAGACTTGTGTATTGCTACTACTGTGACTTAGCTCCAGTCATTCGGGACGGATCCCAGTCTAAGCGACTCTTTAAATAACTCAAATATCGATCCCACTAAGACGTCTGTCAGCGGTTGTACAATCGCTGGCTGAATTCCGTCAGGCCCTGCCGTCTTGAACCTGTTGAGCCCTGGCAGCTCCCACTGATCCTATCTAAATTGCAGAGTGATTGGGGGCATGATGCAATTACCTTCAATTGATGGAGGGTTATTTGTCTTACTGGGGACCCTGTACAAACTTGTGAAGAACCGTAACCGGATACGTGCCCTATCACCGTCACTCACTGCTAATTCTTCGATCAACGATTCTAAAGTACCAACCGTTTCTCCAGTGTTTCGCTTAGATTGGACATATGTGTAAAAGCACTTAGCAGTTTGCTTGACGGTTTGTGCCAAATGCCTGTCGAATTGGTATTAAGTCTCTCTTTTCACTTTGTGTGCATAGTTGCGCGCTTTTTTGTAACCATTCCTGATGGGTGCCATAACGTTTATAGACTGCCCTTCGTCTTCTATGAATGGTTATATCTCTATCTATATTTGCATTCTACCATGAAGGACTTTGCTTTTTTTAACGGAATCAAAGGCGCGAACCTGTCCGTGACTAGGAGTTGTCCAGCCTTGATATGGCTCCATCTGGTATCCGGAGATACATCTGCTGGGTTGGGTACACCGTTTATATCTTGTGCCGCTCTAGCCAGTTCGTTCTGCATGATTTTACCGTATCGCTTCCCTAGTTTGGCCGCTGGTTTGGTGTGCCTGTTTTCCAGCATTAGTTGCAGGACCGCATGATCACTTTTTCCTAGAAGCTCCGCTAGGGCTATTGTCCTTATGTCTATAGGGTTTTCTCGTGATCACTGGAGCCAATATAGACGGCCTGTCGTTTGCTCTAAACCGGATGGCTTGTCATATGTGTTGTGATAATCCGTGCTGATGTAGCCACTCTAGAAGAAGTCCTCCTCCGGCCGGTGCCCTGTCTCTATTCCAGTTAATCTCTGGCATATTGAAGTCCCCTACTGACAACATCCTTCTGGACATGTCAAGGAACAATGGCAGCTGAGTAATCAATTCCTGATCTTCTGTTACAGTCGCCTGCAGAGCCCAGTAGACGCACATGACGGCTAAGGCGTTTCTGTCTATTTTAACTATACAACTGATGTCTGGTATGTTAGGAGTCCCTAGGGCTGCTGTTACCTCCCATTGCCTGTGATCTAATGTTACATCAGGAGAACCCCACTTCCTTGCCTGCCATTCAGCCTATTGATCTATAAGTTGTGTAGTCATCCGGCCCTGTGGTGCTGTAGTTCATCCGCATTCAAGAATCAGTTATGGCCATGATGTATATTCCTGGGGTGCGCCTTCGCACCTCTCCCCACTTATCCCGTATGCTGCAAGCATTGGTTGCCACAATGTGATTGTGTCAGTTAAGTTCAGTTTAGGGATCCAGGAATTCACCGCGGGATGCCAAATTGTCCAGTTTCTTGTTCAAATTCGAATTCAAACCNCGCCTATTGATTGTCCTAGTAATTGCTGGTTCCTTTCGTGAACCGACTCAGGTCAGTTCAGGTCACAAAACTAGCTGCTTATGCCAAACGAGCGTCCAGTTTCTTGGGCGATCGAGTTGCAGTTTTCTCAGTACCCTTATACAGCTTCTGAATTTCTCGTCTCACGTAGAGGGTTTCTCTTCAGCAATATCCTGTAGGGGCTAATTGAATGCTTATTTGCCAAGGACTGGGATGAGAATGTAATATGACAAAGACAGGCTCCAGTCATTTTATCCTACTCTTGACTACCTACATTAGTAATTGCGTGTTACTATTTTCATAATACTCGACGTGCCTACATTTACACCCAGGAATACGTTCAATCATACACAAAAATACACACATGCGTACCTATGCTGGCACACATGCAATCAGTCATGTGCAGATACTAACTTGTACTGGTAAACATCCTTACGAACGCTCTGACTAAACTTATTATACGTTCTAAACAGGGTACGTTTACCCCGAACGAGCCTCAAACTACACTGTTTTTTCCTCACACTGAGAATTCAAGTCCGCGGTAGTGTACTAGCTATGTCTCTAGGGATGATTAGTAGTTGCTCCGGCAGTGCGCGTTTTATGCACTGTTGTTTATGTTGCCAGTGGTCAATACCCAGGGTTTAAGTCTCGCATGCCGTGGAGTAGAGATCTGGTTTTTCAGGCCGATCAGATGAAGGTTGTTAGAGGAGTATTCACGGGACTCTGATCGCACAACAGTCGATGTAAAGCATTCATACTTGATCTCCATTCGTCACAGTGTAATAGAAAAGATTGAGAGACAGGAGTCAGCTTCGGAACCGAACACCCCTCGGTTGAGAGAAATTTGGCTTACTCGGCAACATTCTCTAGATAGGAGGGGAAAAATTACCCCTTTGACATTGCACTCAGGGTTCAGATGGTATATGAACCATCAAGGTTAAATTCAAAACATATGTATCGTTTTTAGGGGAAGCATAGTTGATGCCTTGCTGTTCACCCATATGAACCATATGAACCAACCATAGGAGACGTCATCACCTATCTCTCGGTTGGGGGTGTGATGGTTTCCTTCGGATTGTCCTGTATAAATTGGTCGATAAAGATGTAAAGATTCTTGAGAAAATTGAGAAGAAAAAGAGGAAAAGTCGACAGTGCAGAGAACAGGTGAGAATAAATAAGACGTGGAAGCAATCTCCTTTATCCTGCCTGAAGCCATAATTCCAGTTATCTTATCCACCTGCTTTCAGGGACTGGGTGAGTTTGCGTCTGCCTTGCTCATTACCTGCCTATCCTGAGCAGTAGGGATTTTGTGGTTGCTGCACATTTGAGCAGTCTACCGTCCATTCACCAGGGACATTCGGATCTTTTCCAGTACTCAACAATATATACACATAAACATGCATGAATGGCTGCATCATCATTCATCATGTTGTGGCCGGTTTATTCAGCTTCCAGGAACAGTTTCGTTCACATTGCACCGAGACGGTCCTTAAACTCCTCAAATGAGGCGGCTAACACAATTGAAGGTGGTAACTAATTCAAAGGGTTTATAACCCTAGGGGTGAAGAATATCGCCCGGATACTCCTGAGTGGAGTCGGTTTCTAAAATTTGAGTCCAGTTACTCGCAGAGCGAAGTTATTTTTCCTGGATAACAGTTGCGTTCCCGTATTGGATAGACTCTTTATTTGATGGGAAGCGTCTATAAGGTCTTCCCTTGATCTTCTGACCAGGGAGAATAGATTAAGTTCTGTTAAACTATCGTGGTAGTTCAATCATTCCATTCCTCGGATTCTCCTAGTGAACCTCCTTTGTACATTCTCTAGTATCACCAAGCCCTTCACGAGGGATGGCGACCAGGCTTGCACACGGTAGTCTAACTGAGGCCTCATGAACGCCTTTTAGGGTGAAAGAAGGACTACCCTGTCTCTTGAGGCCACAGTTCTCAGTAACTGGTGCAGTGCTCTGTTTGTCCTTGTTGCAACTAGAAGACACTGCTTGGCTGGTTTGAAGGTCTCGTGTATGAGCACTCCAAGTTTCCTCATCTGTCCTGTTTGAGTCATTTTCCGAGGGTTATCCAGGTTTAGTAGCCTTCTACCCGAGGGTGGTTGTCCTCCATGGAATAGAAACCTCCTACACTCATTGATGTTTAGTGGCAGCTCCCATTACTTTGATTAGTTTTGCAAACCACCTAGTTACGTTTTTGTTGAGGTGGTGTGTCCAACTAGCTCAACACCATCGGAAAACACAAAACACGGCCCAACCAGTTCTTGTGGCAGGCTTTTGATATACATGATGTAAACAACGTTTCCTAATACTGATTCTAGGCGACACTGTGACTCTCAAATAGAGCAATGAGCAATGCGTAACCGAGATTGGATCCCAAAACGTCAATAAGACGAACGATCTAGCAAATTTCTACGGCACTGCATTGAGAAACGATCAGATGAGCAAATAAATTTGTACAAACCTCAAAAGTGATCTCATAACTTGAAAACGAAAACCAAGTGTTACCATGAGCGTTATTCAAGGAATCTGAAAGGATGAAATGATTCGGGGTAAGAATAGCGCACTCACGTTGCACTCGAGCGAGCCAAATATGAGCAGTCAGGTCGCGATTGAAACAAATAAGATTCGGGAGAAGCACAAACTAACAAAAGCAAATAACGGAATTAATGTGTAAATATACGAAGGAGGTGGAACATTAAGGTTTATATATTAATGAGACAAATGCTGTTGGACCAATTAAACGTGAAATTCACGATATTCGAATCAAAGGTGGTTTGTTTCGCTTTGAAATGAAGGACTTTTACAGAACAATCAATATAGACAAGGTAATGGCGTGACATTCCAACTATTAGGTTTTCTGAAAACGACCGATTTTTAAATGTATTCTAGAAAAAGTTATATCTAATTTAGCTGTTATTTAACAGATTTCGCCTCTGGCTGAAACTTCTTTATTTGTTAGGATTCAGTTTGTTTTCATTGACCCTAAATAATCTTGTCCGGAAAGTATAAATACCGCAACCTAATGGCAACGATCACTTCCACGCTCATACCACCCATGGCTCTCGTTGACGATTCGATCGTTTTTGAACAAATGGTAAAAGATTCCTACGGATCGCTGGACGGAATCTTCGAGGACTTCCGTGTATTCCAAAGGGTCATATGCGTATCCTTCTACGTTTATGCATCAATGACAGCCAAACAACTGATACAATAGAGAACGTTTGGTCGGAAACTGACGTCTTCTGAGGGCTTTTCAAAATATTTGATCATCGAAGGCGCGGTTCATCTGCAACCAGATCATTATACCTCTCATTTATAATGTAGTTAACCCGTTTAAGGCCACAAAACAACGTTTGTCCGGCATTCGTTGGAATTCGCACGGTCGGGAGGGAGTACTGAGCTATAAACCGTTGTCTGGTGCTCTACAATGACTTCCGTGTGGGTCAGCGGGGTTTGTATGTAAGCAGTCGTCGTCTTACTGGAGAACAAGAAGATTGAGTGCGCGGTTTGATGGACACTTTTAGAAGTACTCGCAAGATACGGGATTTCGCCACACAAAGTTTCAAGAGACCCTCAAATACGGCGGGTATCAGATCCATACGTCGAAGAAAATATCAGTCGGATTAATGTGGCGATGCGGTGAAAGTTAGGGATGTGCTGGAGAATCAGGGAGAGGTTAGGTTAAGGCTGAACGAAGGCTTCGTTGGTCACATTTATTTTGTTCTCAAGATTATGCTGCAATGCGTCGACAGATTAAATGTTGTTTGGTGGCAGACGCCGTGCACCAGGTAAACTGTGGCGGGTACGTGCTTTGGAATGCTATGCTTGTAAACAAAATGACTCTACGTAGAAACTTCACCTACGCTATCTTGCCGAATGAGAGCAGTGAGATCTATAGATGTGTTGTTAGAGCCATAAAAGCTATGTGCCCAGTCTTTGTATAATGCAAGGCTATGGTAGTTGATCGTATCCTGGCTCAGTATAATGTGTTTTAGAATATTTCCCTTCCCCTATTGCGGTACTTTGTCGTTTCCATCTGGTTGAGGATTTGTAGAAGAAATGTAACCAGCTATCTGGTATGCCAACGTTCGAAAAGCAGCGCATGTTTCAA